ACTGCCTGAAGACATTTCTAATTCTCACTTAACCAGGAAGTATTCCTGAGCTCTCACATAAAGTTGTCCCTACTCCTATTATTTACATATTGTATTCCTTTTTAATGTTTAAGAAGATGGCCACTGCTGTTAAGTTTGCTTTTCATTAACAGTTTACATTGTCTTTGCAGCCTGAGCTCCAACTACCTAGCCTAACATTTAATAAACACTCAAAAGATACATGAAAATATTAATAAATATATTTATTTCATTTAAAAATAAAAATTACCCTCCTATATATTCTAACTTATGGTTAGAAAAGCAAAAAGAAATAAAATCTCCAAAGCGCTAGGGGAAAAACAATAGATATTTTTAAGATCTGGGAATGCTAAAAGACTTTCTACACATAACACCAAAGGAATAAAACATAAAAGCCTTTTTAGAGGGAAATAAATGGAATATATCAAAAGCTTTAAATTTTCACATACTCAACAACTCAGCAGTTGCATTTCTATGCATTTCTAAGAATAAAATTGAGGTTATAGATTTATCTACACAGATTCTTATCACGGCATTGCTAAAACACAAATAAGCAACAAAGCAAAAAGAAAATCTGGAAATGACCCTAAATGTCAATTAATAGAGAAATATAATTATGGCATGCAGGCAGCTACCACAGTAATTGAGTTTAAGGTCTTAACTTAGATTGTCTGATACACTTTTTTCATCCTTACAAGCTTCCCAGCGCTACCATAAGCTTTACCTGGGCAAAGTTCCTTCATCTGGGACACCAAGAAAATAACTTTACAAATATGTCATGATTGTAGAGAATGTAGATGCCTGGCCCTCATTGTTACAATATGCAGCAAAACTATTTCAATCTATAATGTAATGTATTTCATAACACAAATGAGGAGCAGGATATAAGCAGATTTCACGTTACAAAAGGGTGGATTCCAGTAAGAATGGAAAGATCCCAATCTTCGTAAGTAATATAAGTAGAGTGGGAAAAAAGTATTCAAAGCATATCCCCCTAAATTTTGTAAAATAATTAATTCTGACTGGAAGAATTATGAATTACATGTTTTTGTTTATCATATTTTTGAAATTATTTCATAATAAATGTGTTTCTTTTAGATAAGAATATTACAGTGGAAGGAATTTTTTTCTAAAAGTACTGCTTATACATTTCTTCGAAGCATCAAATCCATAGTAGATAGAATCCTGCATAATATACCCACTTATTCTCTCACCATGCTCGCCTGTATTCCTGGTCACACTTATTTGTTGTTACTTCATAGGCTGAACAAACTCACCATGTGTACTTTATAATAAATTCCAAGACCATGAAATTAGTTAATTAACACATGCATCAATTATTTCTGAACACATTTAGGTCTGATCTACCTAATTCCCAGAATTCAGGAAAACCCTAGTTCGCCTGTTCCACTCTTATTTTTGGAGAATCTAGATATGGTTTGAGTAGGCTGAATAGCTGTCCCAGTTACTTTACTTCCTGAAATGTGGGTGGATGAACACAAATACACAGAATAACTCAAGAACTTATAATTCGACTTCAAGTTACCAATATGCAAAACTGAAGAGTAAGACTCCTTTCAGAGAGCCACCATCATCATGCCCACTGAAGTGGACAATAAAGGATGGGGTATCCACCTCCTAAAGGTCTCGCTTAGGCAGAACCGTAACACAGCATTTGAAAAACCACAATTCTGACCACAGAACCCTGCTTTACAATGGCATGAGTGAGTGAGAACCCTGTGACTGGAGATATTCAAGCAGAGGCTGAGGGACTCCTCCAAAAGGCTTTTAGACAATGAGATCATGCATGAGGTTCTTCAACTGGATGATTTTATGAAACTTACTCTGAAGAGAAATCCATCCCTGATTCATTTTACACAAAGACTTTGAAGTTTATATTTCATAGACTTTTAACTTTTGATCTCACCTTTTATAAAGTAGCTTCAGATTAACAAATGGAATTTTTCTTAAAAATATCAATAGATTAAAAAGTTAATCTCCAATGCTCCTTTTCAAGGTACCATTTACTGAAAAATGTACATTTTTAAGGAAATGTCCCTAAATACAAGGATATTTGAAATTTCACCAAATTTATGCACTTTTAAAGAAAGTCATGTTTACATGATAAAAACAGTGTGTAGTAATATATTTTGGATAATTTAAAAGAGTCTAGGATATATTTTTAACAGATGGTCCTCATATAAGCCTTAAGAAAAATTCAAGATTTCAACAATCATTTAAGTCAAAGAAACTGAAATAAGGACTTTTGGCTGGCTGTATTTGTGATGAAGTAATCACTACATTTTGTCCAGAAATTCCTTAGGTAAATACATTTCTTGCCTGCCCACCCAACCTCCACCAAATTTCTACTGATAAATAATAAGGTACATTTTAAATGTTCGAGGAAAAAAGCACCAGGTCTTGATATACAATATTAATTCCATTTCTCTGTATTCTCAGATATATATTAAGCACACTATTTAGCTTTTTTTTTTTTTTTTTTTCTTTAAATGCCATGTATTCGGAAAGAGAAGCCAAAAGACTGAGTCTCTACATGTGCCTTGGACACAGCAGAGTTGTCTGCCTTCTATAATCAGCAGTGGCCATAAGAACTCTTTCTTTAATGCTAAGTATAAAAGGTCATTGTACATATCAGCATGAGTGAGAAGAGAACTCCAAAGGGGTTCAGCTAACCCAGCACCAAGACTCAAGTTAAATACCATATTCATGCCAGCCACTCATTTACCACTCAGTCTCTGTCTCCAGTCCGGAAACCAGTCTGCCAGGAGCCTAGATAGCTGGAAGAGCAGCCATGTTTTATCATACAACTGATCCCCAGAGGCTAATTTCAAGGAAAACTATATGTGTCCTACATTAAGGAGGAAAAACATCCCTCATTTCACAAAAATCTTTTTTTTAAGAGAACAAAGAACATATATTTTGAAACTCCGTAACTGAAAAACACAATAGGAACTTTAAATGTTAACAGGGCATGTGAGCCTATTCATATTCATTACACTCAACATAAATGAACTATTCCTTGTATATGTGAGTAGACAATGTTTCTTAAGAAAAATTATCAACTCTACTTTTTACAGGAATTAGTTATTACATTCTAAAATATTCCACTGAAAATATCTTCTAAAAACGTGTAAGTTCGTATGTGCAACTCAAGAGTGAAAATTATTAACTTTGGAAGAAAAAAAGTTTTAGAGCTTTCATCTGAAGGTTAATAATTAAAAAGATTTTTAAGAAGCAAACACATGTTTTAAAAACATCCTTCAGTCCAATTCATTAACTAATCAATTTTGTAATTTCTTCTGAAAACATGCTACTGTACATGTAAGATATATGTATGTCTTTATTAGATTCCCATAAATGTAGTAAGAACTAACAAATCTAATGAATGGATAACTGTTGAAGAATGATGATGTAATGCCTGGAAACCTCTGACTTGAAACTGCCCAATTCCTTTGCCAATTAGGAATTGACCTTGAAATCTGCTTCAGGACGAGAGAACCTTTCTGGAAGGTTACATGACTTCCAGAAAAATGAACATCGTCTCCACCAATTAAAATTATGTTTGAAATTTTAAATTGAAATATTTCTCATTCTGTAGTATTTAAATAAACTTAACATTATGTAGGCAATCTGTGTTATTCCATTCGCAACAACTTACCTTTTCATGCTAACATTTCATAATTAATGTTTCTCCCCAAAATAAAAGCATCTGGTAAAGGCATTTATATTTGCCCTAAGTATAACCATAAACTCTGTCATTTGCGGAACGTATTTCAGTCCCAAGAAATCTCAATTACCTTAGGAATAATATAAATATCATGAGGTATATATACATACCAGTCTACGTTAAAAGGTTTCATACATTTTTCTTTTCAAACTTTAACAAGAATTCCAATTTCTCTATTTCTTCTCAAGATTTAACCCAAATACTAAGATGAAGTTTTTGTCAGGGTGATGAGTACAATTTTTTAAATACAAGGCTTCTTTGCAGTTTAAAACCTCTATACATATATAAAACCATCACTACTACTTATCTATAATATTTCAATGGCATAGTTTCATACATTCTCACGTTTCACAACAAAGAATGAATGCACTGTACAAATTTAGATGCTATGAAAAGCCCTGGGAAAATAAACTGAAGATGTATGTCCTTATGAGTGTTATGTAATACTGCTTCTAGTTTAACATTATTTTTACTCATATGGTTTAATGTTAAATAGTTATTTCTCACATTTTGTAAGATTAAACATCTTTATTTTTTTAAAAAAGATTTTATTTATTTATTTGACAGACAGAGATCACAGGTAGGCAGAGAGGCAGGCAGAGAGAGAGGAGGAAGCAGGCTCCCTGCTGAGGAGAGAGCCCAATGCGGGGCTTGATCCCAGGACCCTGGGATCATGACCGGAGCCGAAGGCAGAGGCTTTAACCCACTGAGCCACCCAGGCGCCCCAGATTAAACATCTTTAATAGGCCACTGGCACCCATTTGATTCCAGGACATCATTAATAGATCATTTAGCACATCAACACTGGAGATTTCCACCAGTCTACCAATCATGAGTTTAAGTACTATTTGTATTATGGTAAACTGGTTTCATATTGGCTTGACTGACCATTTACATGGGTAGACAATGCTGGATGCCTACTGAGCATTCATTCCTCCACTCCTTTTCTCTTGCCCAACAGAACTTCCACAGGCCTCCTGAACTGAGCTCACTCTGGGGCAAAAAACGGACATTCTCCAGTTGTTAGTTATGTCTCATAATCTTACCGTTCAAGTTATAGATATCATCAGAGATGAATAAAAATATAATTTCATCAGAAGAATTTTCTTTGGATAACCAAAAATCATACAATTTTGTTTATAAATTGTAATTGTATAATTACAATTATACAATGTTTTGGTTTAAAACAAAAAGAGACTTCTCCAAAAGGAGGGTCTCATTTCTCTTTTCTTACCTCTTTCGCACTGTGGGCCAGTGAATCCATAAACACAAGCACAGCGGTTAGGTCCAATACAACGTCCACCATTCTGACACCCATTTTCGCAGACAGCTGCACACAAACACAGCAAGAAGCTCATTATATGGTCAATCTCCAGGTACAGGTGACCACTGAACATCACAGGTTTGAACTGTGCTGGTCCACTCAAAAGTAGATTCTTTTCGATAAACACGGTACAGTGCTGTAAGTCTATTTTCTCTTTCTTAGGATTTCCTTCATCACATTTTCTTTTCTCTTGTTTACTTTAAGAATACAATATATGGCACGTATAACTTAAAAAATATGTTAATCCACTGTTTATGTTATCAGTAAAGCTTCCAAAAAACTATTAGTAGCTAGGTTTATGGGGATTTAAAAGTTATACACAGATATTAAACTGTGTGGAGGACTGGCACCCCTAAGCCCTGTGTTGTTCAAAGGTCATCTGTACCATACAGCATAGAGGCAGCCCATAATGGATCTTTTCTCTCAAACACAAGTTACAATTTGCATGCACATTTAAATAAATACACGTAATGTATATTGAGACAAAACCCTATACAATTCATGTAAATCACATTGTGAGGCACACATCTGGCAAAAGTTTTTTTTTTCTTTCTTTTAAACAGAATCACAAGGATTGGCTGGCTCAAATGCTCACACTGTCAGAATGTAACTAACCAATTTGTTATCTTACTTCTATTACCCCCATAATCAATCTTCATAGGTAAGAAAATAAAATATGGGGAAATGTAGGAAAAAGGGGACAGACAATAGGCAGCAGAGAGACAGGAAAAAAGGGAGGGATGCGATATGGAAAAATAAAGAGGATATGGCAACAAAGAGAAGGAAAAATCAGAGAAGAAAAAAAGCCCCACCCTGCAAGAAAAAAGACTGGGTGAGTAAAAGAAAAGAAAAATCTAACATGAACATTGTGGCGGGGGGAATACCTTCAATTCATCAATGAAACACCAAGAGATAACTAATGTGTAGAGTATGTACAGGATATAAAAGGAAAGAAGGAAAAACCTCAGTGTGTCAATATGATAAATATTTTTGTTAAAAAAATTAACCCCAAATCCCAAATTTTTAAGATGAACACAGGCAGCATACATTCCTTCACTCCTTTCCACTTGTCACCAGGGAGACCAGGATTCAGTTCAGGCTCCGTGGGCCCCAGAGAGACAGAGAGCCCGAACTGACCCTGAACAGCTCCTCTTCCCCACTGCACCTCCCTCAGCAGCCTGGACCACAAAGAGAAAACCACTCTATAAAGACCGTTCCACAAATTCCCTGAAAAATCACCATTCCTGAAAACTCCCCTGACAGCACTGGAATCCAAGAATCATGCCTTCTCTGAGAAAAAATACTGGTACTAAGAGCTTGTCTATTAATCCACCCACCTTGTCAAACATAAAAACCATCCTCACAGATAAAGGATTATATTCTATGAATTGTGCCCAAAAAAACAGAGCTTCAAACATTAAAGCCAAGTGAGGGGGCAAAGGACAACTGTGCACACTTTAAATGAGGTACATATCAAAAAAGGGAAGCTCAGTAAATAATCAGGTATCTAAAAATGCCAAAGTGTTGCTATCTCCATACCACGAATAATGAGCTAGAATACCTATTCTCATCTAGAAAGCATCCAAGTGGCCTCTGTTCTGCTAACAGTATAAAATGAAAACATACTTTGAAACAAAAGACTTCTTTATCTTAAAGCACCACTGTGCTAGTGGCTTTAAAATTCTTTGTATCAGGCTTTGCTGAAAGGCAAGAAGGATTCTATGTAAATTCGCACAAGTGCATCTTTGGAAGAACCACACCTTTCTGTTTCTTCACTAGTGCCTACACAGCACTTGCAACTCATCTCTGTCCTGAAATATGGGCCGGGCAATAAACAGGATGAACAAATACAGAGGATAAAGGAAAGGAAATAAAGGACATGAGAACCGTGAGAAAGATGGGGGTGGACAGGAATGTGGAAGAAAACAAAAACCTGTCAGAGAAGTCTCAGTGGCATGGAACTCCATAGAAACAATGGACAGCACTTAAACATTTCAAATGCTAAAAACACATATTGCAAAGAGGTAGCCTTTATCTAATGTAATTAATTATGATGTGAGAAATGTACTTTAAATATCATCAAGCTGTAAAAAATATAAATGGAAATCACTTTCCCCGATGTGCTCCCTCATGAGACCCATGCTAGCCTTTAACACATGATTGGGAAAAAACATTCATGATTGACATTCAGGATGCACCCCTGGACTAGGTGGAGAAAGTGATTTTCTCAGGGCTTCCCAAAACAGACTTCTAACTCCCAGGTAGGAGAAGAAGACTACTTAATCCTTGAGTTTCTCCTGAGGAGCCTGTCCAGTACAAATTAAACCTAATCTAATCTGTCTATGTTAGAAGGACAATGTCTCTCTACTCATTACTTCTTTTTTTTTGTAGAAAATATAGTTAATGTTCATAAAAAATTATGTAAACATACAACATGATTTTATTATTTTAAATAAATATTTTTTTAAATTCTCAATTTTAATATGATAAGTATCAGCAGACATACCCCCATTTTAACAAAAGACCTTTGGGATCCTCAATAATTAAAAAAATAGATCTATAAAGAGCTCCCATGAACAAAAAGGCTAAGACCCACTGACAGAGCCATTTGCTTATATTAATACTTCTTGTCTGAGAGTGAAGTCTCAAACTAGAAACTAGAAAGTGAGGTCTCAAACTCAAACGAGAGTTTGCTTGCCTTTGCATCCCCATCATCTACTGTAGAATTTGATCCACCACAGATACCAAAAACCAAAAATCCTGGAATACATGAACGTCTTCCCCCTCTTTTCCCACTATTTTGCAAGGGAGAAAGTCGCAGTGAAGGGATGAGTTCTGTTGTTTCCACACATCCTGATCATGTCAACTTTCTGATTCTCTGCTCCCCTGCTGAAAATTGAGTTAATAGATCCTACCTGAAAGGGGCTTGAGGATTGAATAAAATGATGTATAAAACAAAGTGCACAGTGTCTGCACATTTAAAGTGTTCTACAAACTTTAATTCTCCTTCTCTTTTATTCTACAGAGTATTTCTATGAAAATAAGACTTGCTCTTTATCACCCAAAGGTTATACTGAAGAACAACAACAGCAAAAGTGGACAATGCATACAAAAGTAGAGTAAAAAATAAAGAGATAATTTTGCATCTTAAGAGTTATGATCAAAGTTATTTTATGAAGTAGTTTTTCTTAAAACAGAACAGAAATGGAAATTTACATTCCAACCGGAGTTGGAAAGAAATGTGAATATGCCTAAATTTCCACCATGGAAAGGCGGCTGACCACCCAGGAAGAAAGAAATGCTTACACCTGGTGTGGGATAAAGCAAAAGCAATGGTGAAAACCACATGCTATGTACTCTCCACACCAGCTTCCCAGTGATCTTCCCCTGGCCCTATATGCTCCCAAGTTCCTACCTCCGTCAGCTCTCTCCGAAGATCTTAGCTCATCCATCTTTCTAACTGGAGGTCTAACAGACTGTTTAAATTACCAAGCCCAAAACAAAATCTCACCATCCGGTATTTGCAGCTCTGCCTAACCCACTCCCAGCTCAGTCTTCTCATTTCAGAAAATGGCACAACCATTCCCTCTGGGGCTCCATCCAAATTCTCCAGTTGTCATTATGGAACTTTATTTCTGTTTTTCTCCCCCAGCACACCCACTCCACCAGCACACATATCCTTCTACAGACTCTACCTCTGAATACAAGTGCAAGACAAGCACTTGCCCCACGCTCATTATGCCAGCACCATGCACCTGATGACTGCAGGCGCTGATAACTCACCTCTCATGTTCTCCTCACCCTTCCTACAATCCAGTAGCAGTCAGAGTGATAAAGTTTTTTATGTTAATCAGATCGTACCACTCCACTGCTCAAACTAACTCAATGGCTCCCCATAAAACTTAAAGTCCCAGTTTCTTTCCTTGGTGGGTAAGGCCATCCAGCACCAGCTCTAAACTCACCTCCCACCTTTACCTCCTTTCCTCTCCTCAGGCACATGGATTTTCTTAGTATCTACAAAACAGGTGGAAGAAAAAGTCTGCTCCGACTATAGGTGCTGTGAATCTGCTTTTCTCTCTGTCTAAAACACTTCACCCACTGACCTAAAATGAGACCTTTAGGTCATCTTGTTTGCTCACTGATTCATTCCCAACACCTTGCACAGGTGGGGCTTACAGGAGAAACTCAGTGAACAAGCTGAATGAAAAAGCACTTTCTATGGAACGCTTTCCACATTTCTGGGAAGGTAGCTAAGCACTTTAAATGCTTTTATAACCCTCATTTTAGCAAACGTTTTTCCAGGACTTTTCTGGATTCACAAGCTGAGAATTGTTACACCTGCTTCCTTACTCTCAGTGCTATAATGCTCTCTCTGTGTCGCACAGTTCAGCAAGTGTCTTCCTTACACCTGGTTTTGAGATGATGTGTACAAGTGTCATACCCTGCATCTTTGTACTTGCTGTGAATAATTTTGCTGGTTACATAATATGCTTGCACCATATGTTCTATTAACCCTCAGTAAATGTTGGGCAATCAGAGTTTTTTCTTGTGAGATATTCAGTGAACAAATTTTCAAATATGCAGCTCTTACGACCCAGGGCTTTTTTCCCCTTTCCCCTGACTGAAAAGTGTGGGGGCAGTGGTATGGTTTGGCACAGGAAAGACGAACATAAAAGCATCTCCTCCAAGAAGGGAAACTACTTTCCATCCCTTTACTTTCCATTTCTGTGCCAAGACCAGAGGAGGGACACACCAGCTTTCTGCATAATCTCTAGAAAAATACACACATACACAGAAATGCCCCAGACAGATACAGGAGCTGAATTCAGGCTGAAAGTGGATAGTTTCATGATAGATTTGAGCTAATACTCTGAAAGATCAGTTGAGGCAAGGCTCTTCTCCCTGTAATTTTAAAGTAATTATGAATTTTCTCCCCCTAAACAACAAAAGGTTGAGTTTTAGGAAAGATAACTGTGTCTCTTTGATTGCTACTGAGTTCTATAAAAGAGAAATACAATCAGATATCCTAACACTTCTGTTTAGGTATAAAAAAGGTATAAAAATATGCCTCCTTATAAATATTGTGTTCACAATAGGTTTTTTCTTAGTGGTTGTAAACTGGAGTCCATTGTATAAAATTTGGAAAATACCTATATATTGGAATAAAATATAGAAAAAAAATCATCCATGAAAAAAAGAAAGTTTGCTATGACTTCTGTTACACTGCTGTCCAGCTTTTTCCTGGCCAACCCTAGCCCAAAGAAGTTATTACATTGGCATCTCCTATTCCTGCAAGAAAACTGGTCTAAGTGCAATGTATTCTCTCAAATTCCTTAAGGCTCAGCTTCCTACACTGGTCAGTCTCAGATTACCTCAACAGCTATAGCCATACCTGAAAGTTACCTACACAAGGGGTTCTGTAAACTGTGATCCACAGGTCAGATCTGGCCCACCACCTGTTTTTGTATTGCCATGAGTTAGGAACACTTTTCACATTTTTTATGGTTGGAAAATCAAGAGAAGAATAATATTTTTGTGACACATGGAAATGATATAAAATTCAAATTTCAGTGCCCAAAAATAAAGTCCTGCTGAAACACAGCCAAGTTCTTTCATTTACATATGGTTTATGGTCACTTTTGCACTGTAATAGAAGAGCTAAGGAGTTGTGACAGGGACCACGAAGTCTAAACTATATCCTGGCCTTTACAGAAAGAGATGGCTGACTCCTGACCTGAACAAAGTATTTTTCTTTACATTAAGTCAACCACTTATTTTACATCATTTAAAAAGAAAACCTCATAGCACTTATAAATGGAAAGCTGTATTACCCTAACAGGAAGGCAATCTTACTAAGAACAATGACCACAAGAAGATACCACTTCATATCTATCAGGATGGCTATCTCACTCACACATACACACATAAAAACCAAAACACAAAACAGAAAAGCTTTGGTAAGAATGTGGAGAACTTAGAACCCCTGTACACTGCTGATGGGAGTGTAAAATGGTATAGCCACTAAGGAGAATGGTAAGGCAGCTCTTAAAATTAAAAACAGAATTAGCACGTGATCCACCAATTCTCCTTCTGGGTGGGTATGGTACACAAAAGAAATGAAAGCAGGAACCCAAATGGGATGGTTGTGCATCCATATTGACAAGAGCCAAAAGGTGGCAGCCCCTCAAGGGTCCATTTGCGGACAAACAGATAAAAAAAATTACCATATGTACACAAAATGGGAGTATTATTCAGCTTTAAAAGGAAGGAAATTCTAATATATACTCTACAAGGATAAGCCATGAACACATTATGCTAACTAAACTTATCATAAAAGGACATATACTGTATGATTCCATGTTTATGAGATAGTTAGAGTAGTCATATAGAGAAAGTAGAATGGTGGTGTGCCACTCAACTGTGCATATGAAAATGGTTAAAACAGTTAATTTTATGCTTTATGCATACTGAAAACAATTTTTGATGTTTTTAAAATTTCAACAAAAATATGATTAGCTTAAAACAAGGTAGATATTCTTGCATACCTACCACTTGGTCTTCCTATGTTAAAAATGTTGAAGAGAAATTTTTAGGGAGACTTTGAAGATTAGCAGTGAATCTAGACCCTGTCTCTGATAAAATCCAAATGAAATGAGAAGGGACTTTGTTGTTATATATGATTCAACGTTCTTCGATGTCATGACTGAAAATATGGGGATTCAAGAGTCCCACAATCTACGAAACACAAACCACCCATGTTCTCCAGTGATATGTCATAATCCAAGAGTGACCATCCCCACATCTTTGTTAAAAAGTTATTTCTTAATTAGTACAGAATATGCTCCAATAAATGAAGAGAAGACCTTAACTGGATTAAAGCTCCCTCTTTCACAACGAACTATCATTTTTTAAAAATCATTTTAGAGCCCTGAATTATTTCATTACATAATTAAATATATATGAGCTAATGACAATTTTTAAGATCGGCTCTCCTAGAGTTAATTTTGGATATCCAAAAGAGAGTGAAATCACAACAATCTTTACCATGTCTTCAGGAAAATATTCATGTTTTATGAAGCAAGATTTGTATAAAAGTAAGTAAATATTAACTTGTGATATGGGTCAAATCTGAGGAAGTACTACTGGTATTCAACATCAACACTCTAAAACATAAGAATCTTAAAAGAGAAAGAAAATCTAGGATAAAAATTAGAAATTAGCTGTAAGGTATGGCTTACTACATAGTTTTGTTTTGTTTTTTTTATCATCATTGGCTTTATAGGTCCTTCAATTTGACTTAGTATGAAATACCCACTTCACATCTATCAGAAGAAATCAAATAATTTCTAATAAATGAAGTCTATTCCAATGTTCTTACGTTGTCCACAGTAAGTTCCGATATATCCCTTCTGGCACTGGCAATGGTCATCCGCACAAGTTCCTCCATTCATGCACCTGACATTGCACTGCTGAACTGCAATGAACAACAACAAAAATATATAAAAATATCAATCACTGAAATTTTAGCATCTGTGAGTTATAAAACCAAATATCCAATTCAATGACAAATGTATTTTACAGAAATGTTATGACCCATAATATACTTATTTGTGTAAGTGCACACATACAGCATATTTGCATTTGTTAGGCATTTAAAATAGATTACACTCTCAGTGTTAAAAGAAATCACTATATGGTGACTGGTAGCACAGTTTCTAGGAGGTGGGAGGATTTGTATAACCATTCAGGATGTGGGGGCTGAGTGTCTCCTGTAAGGACAGACTTGGTACTCACCCTCATGGAGCTAACATTCCCACAGAGAGGCAGACAAAACACAAGTAAACAAACACTACAATGTCATTAGAGATTGTGACAAATTCTCCAAAGGAAACTGTGTTGTAAAGGAGAATAGCCAGGAGCCAAGGAGAAATCTAGATAGAAGGGAGACAAAACCATTCTCACCTGACACTTAGGAAGAGTTTGAAAGAAGAGAATGAGCCAGGCATGAGAAGTACTAGAGAGGAAGCTCATGGGGAGAGGAACCAGCAAATCCCTCCGATGGTGGAGAGTTTCCTTTATTTGAAAAACTTATAGTCACAGGATTATAAAGAGTCAGGCTGGGAAGAAAAGGTCTTAGAGAGGCATCCAGAGGCCAGCCAGATAATCCAAGGTCTCCCAGACCATGGAAGGGTTGGCATTATATCCCAAATGCAAAAGAAGTCATTGAAAGGATTTAAGAGAGTAAAGTGATGCAATGTATTTTTAAAGGATTCCTCTAGTTGCTCTGCAGAGAACAGATCTGAAGAGATTAAGGGTGGAAGCCAGAGAAGCCATTGGGTGGGTACTCCAATAGTAACCTCCCAATGGCTAAGAGATGAGGGGAACTTCTCTTACCTCCCAGGTAAGAGATGAGGGGAACTTAACCACAGGTTATCAGTGGTAATGGAAAGTAGAAGCACTTAAAATATGTTTTCCAACAGGACCCCCAGGTCTGGTTAAAAGAGTTGACACTGAGAAAAGGAGGAAGAAAGTAAAGAGAAACAGTCGCTTGGGCACTGGGTGGAGGAGAAATGGCATTTGCTGAAGCAAGAGAAACTGGAAGAAACAGATTGTGGGCAACAATGAATTCAATGTCCTGCTACCAAGTTTCAGACATTTACTATGCATTCAAGTGGAGATGTGGAATAGGAAATGGAACCTGTGAACAGGAGGCTCATTGGAGCGATCTATTCTGAAGACAATTACTATGAGTTAGCAACATACTGGTAGTAGTTGAAGGCATCTATTTAAATAAAGTCATCCAGGGAGGCCATACTCTTGAAAATGCCAAAGTCTAATGAAGAGGATGCAGACTAGAGACTAAAATATAATAACCAGGAAAACACTGTGGCCACGGATACTGCGTAAGTGGAGGGAAAAGAATGTTACACAAAGAAGGGAAATAATGGTGCTAAATGCCCTGAAGGCGTGGAGTAGGATAAGGACTGGCAAAGAGAGAAACATTCCTGATGAAAAGGGAGTACTACTCTAGGCCATAGAGATTCACAGATTCCCTATGGAATTATATACCATAAACTGAGGGTTGGCCCAGTCAATGTTCAGCTACCCAGGGAGAGGATTAAGAAGCTGAACCCATAAAATTTCTCCACGATTTTTTTTTCCTCTGAAGGCATATATGAGTAAACTAAGACAACATTAATGAAAATAAGGGCCAGAATATATTCAAGGCAGTCAGACCAGGAAGGCTGCTGAAAGCACTGAAGGAAATCTGGTAATCTGGGTGGTCAAGAAAGCCTGGATGAATTGTGAAAATGAACTCTAATTTTTTTTAATTTTTTTAAAGATTTTATTTATTTATTTGATAGAGATCACAAGTAGGCAGAGAGGCAGGCAGAGACAGAGAGGGGGGGAAGCAGGCTCCCCCGCCGAGCAGAGAGCCCCATACGGAGCTCGATCCCAGGACACTGGGACCATGACCGGAGCCAAAGGCAGAGGCTTTAACCCACTGAGCCACCCAGGTGCCCCGAAGATGAACTTCTAAAGGCCGAGAAAATGACTCATAATTTTCAAAAAAAATGAAACTAGAAGTTTTTACACAGAAGTTTCATCAGAAGACAATGACATTGATCATGTAAATCTTGAATCTTCAATTTCTGAGTCAGACACATTGTCTACTACCTCTTCTGAGAAAATTTAGAGAGATAAATGCTAAAAATTAAACAACATCACTCTAGTTTGAGGCAGATTTAAATTTTTATGTAATTACTGAACAATTAAATAAATAGTATCTGCTCCTACCTTGTTATAATCTCATCTTAAACAACAGCCTAAAAGATTAGTTTTGAAGACCTGACAACCCTGATTTGGGTCATGAATAACACAATACTACTCCACTGTTGTCATCTCACAGGACTGCTGAGAGTTAATACGTGTAAAGCAAAGTGAGTTAATATATGTAGAGCATCTGGTCAGTATATAGTATTTATTATCATCCCAATCCTCTTATCTTTCTCCTTTGGTTCATCCATGAAATAGGACATGGACTGCAGGATTATGCAAAGGCAATAAACAGAGCCTAGGGTTGGAACCTATACGTTTAGGCATCAGAATACATGAATTCAAGTCTATGTTACCCTGGGCAAGTTACTTAATTCACATGTGCCAAACTCCTTTCTCTGTAAAATGGGATAGTAATAGTATCTCATAATTTTCATGTGAAGATTAAATAAAATGCTATAGTCAAAAACATAAAACAGCATCTGGCACAGAACAAAAACCCAGTAAGTTATATAGTTCATTAAGTTATTCACAAAGAATTTCTTTTCCACTGAATCCAGGCACTTTTACTGCAGAGACACATAGCTTCTGGACCAGAACTAAACCATTCTGCTTAATAAAAAATCATTATTCTCTTCCCCTTCAGTTGTTGGTGGCAATAATGAAGCCACTGAAGATTTTTGACTCCAAGGATTAAAGCAGATCTAGCTAATGAGGAAAATAATCGACATATACATCCTTGTTAAAAAGGACATTTGGTATTCATTCACAAGCTTCAGAATAATGCAATAAATAAGATCACATCTAAAGAACATACTTGATTTTGATCCACAGGTTGGTGATATTTGGCCACTGGAACAAGTACACATGTTAGGACGGGAACAAAATCCATCTCCACAACTATTTCTACAAATTGCTGTAGAAAGCACAATAGGAAAGCGAAGGAATAATTAGGTAATAAACCACAGTAAACAAAACAAGAAAGCTACAGTCAACAACAGTAAACCTGGAAAAACTAAGATAAAAAAATACAGGATATGTAATGTCTGATTTCAGATATGCAACAAAATCACCAATCGTAGACATGAGATGGCCTCACAAATATCCTTATGATAATGTGCAAACAAATGAAACTATTTCAAGTTCCATAGTCCTTTAACTCTATCAGTACAGGTCATGTTTTCCACTCAAGGCAGAGCATTTATACATAGAATTTACCACAAGATGACAGTCTGGGTCGAAGGAAGCTAGAAGGATTGAGGAAACCCAGAGGTCCTACAAAACCTCAGAAAACATAGCCCACTCTGGAAAAGTGGGCTTTTCACAAGACATAGAAAATATAAAATGGACTGAGGCAGAGACTCCAGGCCCTAACCAATTGGCCAAGCCCCAGGGGTTCCATGCACATTCCTTCCCAGCTGGTATCTGACCTGCCCCATCATCAATCTTTGTTCTCCTTAATAAATCCCTCTCTCCTTCCTCTAGCCTTTTTTCTCCCATGCTATCACCACAACCTAGCCTATATCCTGCTGGTCAGAAAAGCTGCTGCCACATTTTGATGGAGGGAGAGTCAAAGCCTCCTGCAGCTTTGACCTCCAAGGTATGAGGGTCATCACAGCAAAGAATGTTAGGCTCACTGACACAGCACATACCATGGACCTCAAAATCATTAGTTGAGTGCCTTCAAATGGGAAGTCTCTCCCATATTTAGAATAAGTTCATTTAAGAGCTGAGAAATTCATCTCTATACCCACAACTGAATTTTTTGTGTACAAAGCCTATGTGCTTTAATGTTCCATGCCTGGATCCATGAGGACAAGAGGAGAACCTGGGAACATTCTCAAACTAACTATAAACATTCATGCAAATGTGCATGTGTCTTTAGCTAGACAGACATTTCACAATTTTCTTTCTTTTTCTTTTTTTTTTTAAAAGATTTTATCTATTTGACAGAGAGAGATCACAAGTAGGCAGAGAGGGAGAGAGAGCGAGCGAGGAGGAAGCAGGCTCCCTGCCTAGCAGAGAGCCCGATGCGGGACTCGATCCCAGGATCACCAATAATTTTCCAATGACACATGCCCACTAAAATATTGTTTCTTCCAAAGCTCCCTCACCCCCAACAGGCTGACATTTAGTCTAGGCATAGGTAATCTACAAAGTGTCCCTACCGTCCTAAACCCAAGGAAGGTCTCATGGCTGGAGAATGGTCATCCTCAGACAACAGACTCCTGTCTTTACCACAGATCTGAGCTTTGTCTGTGAGCGAGTGAGAAGACAGAGTGTGAAGGCCCTTTCTCCTCACACTCATCCCAAACTATGAGATGCCTCACCTAACTACTTGTCCCTCCTACCTTCATGAAAACCATGAGACCCAGAAATAATGAAAGGAGAGGGAAAGAGGACATGGGGGATAGGGTTTCTCTGATGCTGGGAGAAGATGCCCAGCACAGTAAAGAGGACATAGGATGAAAAAGGTCTGAGGTTGAACTCTTGCTATGCTATGGACCCAGTGAAAGTTTAGAAAAAGACCACACAGCTTCGCTGGGTTTTGTTTTCTTCTTGGTAAAATAAAACAAAGGGGTTATAGTGGAGTATTCTGAGCTCTTTTTAGGTTCAAATGCTGTGATTTCAGGCCAACCCTTTCCTATTCCACTGACCAAAATGCACTTCATAGCAAAATTTCACAAATAAATTAATAAACTTTCCCACTGCTTCAAGTTCTAACAAGATTTAAAAAAAAAAATGAAAAGTGAGAAAGTCAATTCCATTTTTTTGGAAACAAATATGTGCAATTTCAAAAGTACTTCAATGATCTTTGCAGGCCACAACTAAGAACACTAACAACAAACACAGAACACAAATCAAAATACATTAGGTTTCCCATAATCTGAGAAATACATTTGTCTTTTATTATCTTCATCTCTTCATGAAGCCTGGTCGACACCAAACATTAAAATTCTAGAAGGTAATCATTTTTAATATCCTTCTATAAAGAGAAAATGCTGATATATAAATGAAATAATTAGTCTTTGGTCCTCGTATTTGATTTGTATTCTACTTATCTCTTTGTAAGTTGCCTCAGAGCTTTGTCTTTTGCTAAATGGTGAAAATTCAGTAAGTATAATAAATAACTTATTATCACCAGGAAGTCCTAGAATGAAAATTCTTGATTTTGACTTGATAATGCTTTCAGTTTGGTTATTATCTCCACATATTATCATTTTAAATGTCAAAAAGAATTGTACTACTAAATTGAACAGAAAATATTAAAATTCAAAATTTATGTGAGATCCATACAAGAGAATAAAAGGGCATTATTACATTCTTCCTCTATTTTATGCACTGTTTTATACTCTTGGTATTTGAATTATCTTTTTAATGTGCTAATGTTTTTGCAGATAAACTCTAAGTGTTTGATATATATAAGTGAGATATATATATATATATATATATAAATATGTTTCTTGGTGATACAAAGATAACTACAGAATTTATTTTGAGTTTTTTAAGAGTTTTTTTTAAAGAGATTTATGATGCATGTAACTTCCAATGTATTTCATAGGCACCCAAATATTTCAAGTAGTAGAAAAGCAGGCTATAATAGTCACCATTGCTCTGAGACTTGAAAAGTTGTTCTTCTAAACAAATAAAGAGCACAGTGTTGCTGAAAAACTGTATTTAAAGCAGACATTCAGAGGGCCATATACATACATACATACATATATATATGTATGTATATATATATACATATCAATGATACATACACATATATGTATTTCTACTTCAAGTATTCTGGAAGGCTCTGTTCTCTGGAATTCCCATTCCACACCAATCCAATAAAATCTGACTTTACGGATTTTCAACACATACCATAAACCGATCCCTTCTTCTCGGCTGCTCTCCAACTCAATAATGGCAGTCACATTCGTTACATTCAGTGAGTCAGACTTTCCGCAGTGCCTAAGTCATCCCAGTTAGTATGGCAGGTGTGTGGTGAGTGACAAGCTGTTGTAGGAGTCTAGGAACCATGTTAAGTTTCAAGCAGGCAAAGTATGCCCTACTGGCCTAAAAGGGTAAATATACCCTCCATATATGCCTCACATAGAGGATTTCTGCGTTGGGAAAAAAGAATGTAATACCCTTTGTTTCTTTTTTACTAAAGGCTTATCATCAGAGGATTTATTTAAAATACTCATGAATCACTTTAAAGAACACAGTCATTGTTTCCCATTTGTGCTTCCCTACTGGAAATTGTGGTATTTTCACAGTAGAAAAAATTACAAGAAACAAAAGTCTTCACAACACATGAAACTTCACTCATTTTTTAAAAACTGCCGTGAAATAACATGAAGGGTCTATCTCAAACCCACAAAACCAATAAATATACAGTTGGAAATGCCACTACATCCTTATTATCCCTTGACTAGCGTGGCTTGCCCTTTTTCTCTGTTCACAATTGCATTAATTATTTTTTCCCTGGAGAACATGAAGGTCAATCTAAAGGCAAGACTGACTCTAAATGAATGTGCTGTCTATGATACCTGGCTCTCCTCCCGACAAGATAAATGTGACTGCTAGATAAATACACGGAGCAGGTCAGTCACACTTCAACTCACGAATTCACAGGCATGTGAAATAAGACATCCCACAGTCCATCACTATGAGGCTGGTAACTAATGACTTCTCCAGTTAGAACTTGGGAGCTCTAGGTACACAATTTGGAAACTAAATAAAAGAATAAAACTTTGAAGGTCAGAGATGCAGAACTTTGGAAGCCTCGCACTTTGGAAATCTACAGTACACTATTAGATGTAGAGCCTGTAAATCCTAAATTTAAATATCTTAAAAAAAAAAAAGGTCAAGCCACTTGGGAAGATTCTTTTAAAAATTTTGTTGACCTGGGTCAACTCTAAGTCCTATGAGAGTTCCTTTCATATCTACATTATGTGGCTGTTGAGATGAAACCAGAGATAATAAAGTGGTTTTGTACAAAGGCCTAAGAAAGCTTGATCTTCAAAAGGCCTAAACCTCATGCAGTCAAAAGCCAGATAATTTACATAATCACATTGTGGTCTTATCTGGACTCCTTTAGGAAAAAGTGGTTTTGAGTTATCTAGGGAATTGCTGTACTCCCCCTTCAGTTTGTATTAATAGACTCAGAAAGATAAAACTTCCAAGTATCTTTGAAACCTTTATCATTATTGCCCTTCAACAGAGTCTAGAAGCTAAGTCTAAACTTCGATGTAAACCGGCTGCTTCCTCCTTAACACTCAAACGGGTCCCCGTCGTAATTATCATTGCTTTGTGGCCACTGGATTCTAGAAGCAACTGTGTCCCAGACATCTGAATCCAAGAGCTCGGCCCTGACAAGGGGCAAAGCGCGCTGCCCAAGGTGGGACCCCAATCAAGCACTCACGGACAATGCACTGGTTTCCTCCAGGAAGCGTCTTCCATCCCGGGCAGCAATAGGAGTGGAACCTGGATCCGCAAACGTTGGGCCTGCGATGGACAAGCAAGGTCACACACACGTAGGGAAGTGTATGGTAACACATTAGCGGTTTTCCCAAGCAAAAACGCTGGGCGAAAAGATTTCGGGACAGCAAACAAACCAAAACTACACTTCAAATCCTTGGGACTTGGGGCACAGACATGGAACTAAATTGGCTGAATGGGGGAGGGCTGGAAACGTCTAAAACTTGCCTTTCATCTGCCTTCCCTTACTGCCTTTTTAAAGGGCAAAAAGAAACATGGAAACATATAATTTGCTACTACTCTGGGCTCCGGATGCAGAGAACAAAGGAAAGACTCTTTCAAAAATCCTTGCCCTCGTCCCCAAATCCATCCCTCTTTAATCCACTGTTACTTCGGCCCCGACGTGTCAAGGAAGGCGCGTTGGAAGGTGAAGCGCTCGAGTTTGAGGATTAGAGCAAACCCTAAACCCCGCACTCCTTCTCAAACAAAAGGCTCAAGAGCTGCGCCCCCGACGGTGGCGAGCAGGCAGGCTCCACCAGCCCCGACGCGGAGTAGACTCAAGCCCGCCCTCCGCCCGACATTGAGAACCTGTTCCCGCACCGCGGGCACAGCCTGCGCTGTGCCTTCCACACCTGGGGGCCTTCGACCCAATCCCCCGAGGGAGGGCTTTTTGCCCGCTGAGCTGCGGAGGAAAAGGGGGAGGCGCTCCTGGGAGTCCTCGGGATTCTGGTGGAGGGGGCCGCGGCTCTAGCCACCAGAACCAGGTTCAGGGAGGGGTGGGATGGAAAGCTGCCAAGCGTAGGATCCCCCGCTGCCTACTGCCCACCTACCCTCGGAGCACGTCCTGCTGTCCTCGCCTGCGGACCCGGCTGGCAGCCGCGGCGCCCTCCTCGCGGTACTCAGGCACAGCGAACACGCCTTCAGAGCCCGCCACCGCGGGTCGGACCTGCTGTGGCGGCGGCTGGGGCCGGGGCGGCTTGGGCGGTGGAGGTTGGGGCTGGCTAGCCGTGCCCTGCGCCCAGAGCGCCACGCAGCCCAGCCACACGAAGTAGGGCTGCAGACACAGCCGCCGCCGTCTCCCCATCGCGGGCGCCGAGAGCGCGCGGACCAGGGTCCGCAGAGAATAGAGTGATGGGAGACAAAATCTGCGCGGCCTGAAAAAGTCAGGGTCTAACAAGCCCTCCGTCGGCTCCCGAGACTCCCTGGGGCTTGGGCTCCCTGCAGTAGCGGGAGCCCCGGACCGAGCGCCGGCCCCCTGGCTGCGGGCGGGACCCGGGCTCTAGCGCAGCGGGCGGCGAGGCGCGGCGGCGGTGTGGCCGGCAGCCCCGCGCGGTCCACGTTGCATCCCCCGGGCCACGGCCCCTAGCGACTCCAGGACCGCCAGCGGGCGGGGGCGGGAAATTACAAAAGTAACCCGAGCAGCTGCGGCGTAAAGTTACAAAGAAAGCGGACCTCAAAAGGGGGAAAAAAAAAAAAAAAAGGGCCTGCACGCAGCGCCTCGGCGGATTCCCGTGCGTTCCGGGAACAAATCTTAGAAAGTTGCAAAAGTCACCAGAAAGAAGCCGACAAACAAACAAAAGTCGCCCCCCAAAGAAGAGGGTCTCCTCCCGGCTCGCCTGGAGTCCCGCGGGGCAGCGACGCGCCGGCGGCGGCTGAGGAGCCAAGCTGAGGTGTGCGGGGCCAGGGCGAGCCGCCGGTGAAAGGGAGGGCAGGAGGCTGGACGCCGGGGAAGATGCGGCGGACGAGGGCGCGGCGCGGGGGTTTTGAGGCTCGGCGGAGCGTGGGGCGGGCCGGCGGGCGGCGGCTGTCAGTGGGGGCTGGAGCGCAATCGTCCACACGTGGAGCGCAGCCCCCACCCAGGGGCCGACGCAGAGTGGGCGGAGACAGAGTTAAGGGGCGAACGGGTGGGGAGGAACAAGGGGAGCTAGGGGCTGGGGGAGGGGAAGAGGAAGGAAGGGGGTAGGGTGAAGGGAGGAGAGAGGACTGAGATTGGGGAGAAGGGGGGGCAAGCCTGAGAGGAAGACCAGGGCTGGAAGAGGCGCTTGGAAGGAGGGACTGGCGAGCCCGGGTGCGAGAGGAAATGAGCGGGGGATGGGGGCGAGGTTAGAGCGAGGAGAGAAGTGGGAAAGGGGAAGGGAGGGCCGGGGGCCTGGGGGCCGGCTGGAGGGGCGAGGCGTTAGTCGGCTTTGCTTCCCGTCCCCCTCAATTGGCCGCTAGCTCTGTTTTGACTGTACAAAGCGAGTAGACGACGGGGGAGGGGGCGGTTAGGGACCGGATTTGGGAAAGGAGGCAGCAGCCCCTTCCCCTCCCCCTCCGCCCTTGCCGTGCCGAGGACCAGGGACTAGGGTCTCTAAAAGCGCTAGGCTGGGCTGGACCCGCAGCTGAACTTCCCCTTGCCTGGCAGAGGCCACAGGGTTGAGGAGGAGAGCGGGTACTCCCGAGAGGACCTAGACCCAGACCCGGGGTGGGGGGATTCTCAGCCAAGCAGGAATAGAGACTCGCGCGGGACTTGGCTGCAACCTCAATCCAAGGAGGCCCGGCCCTCCCCATCGTCCTCCTACCCCCACCCCAGCCCGGGATAGGCGTCAGTCAATGGGACCCGCACAGGGGTTGGGCGTTTCCAGATTGAAACGCGTCCTCCACCTCCAAGAGGGATCTCACGCGGCCGCGGGGGGCCTCGGCTGCAAGACTGCGCCGAGGTCCCGGGTAGTCCGCGCAGGGGGTGTGCTCCGAAGTGACCCCTGGCACAGCTCTGTCGGCGTTTGCAGCCAGAGAGGAGTTAGAGCCCCTGAAGTGGCGAGGAGGGCCGGCGGTGGGTAACGCAGAGCTGGTAAATGGGTCTTGCGGCATATCCTTGGTTCCTGGCTTGGACTCATTAATGATTAAGCCCTAGCGATTGGTGCATCCAGGCTGGCGACCTGCCCTCTGAACCCTAGAACTGCCTCTGTGTTCACCCGCCTCTGGGGTCTTCCTTTATGGCCCTGCTTTCATGAGGTCTCTGTAAAGCCTTGGTCATCTCTTAACCCATGGCACTGCATAATTAAAAATCAAACATCCCTGAAAATTAAGGCTAACCATCCAAACACAGTTTAGGAAACAGTACAAGAGAGCAATGTCTGTATTATTCAGGCCTAGGGAAATTTACTATATCTATATCGGTATCTATATCTGTATCTGTATCTATATTCCCCACCTGAATTGCCCAGATGTGCTATTTGGCAGCCAAAATTCTCTGAGAATTGGCATAACTCCCTTCTCTACTTTCCAAGTACAGTCAGACAAAGAGTCTGACTTACAACATCCTCATAAGGCCTAAAAAAAAAAAAGGTAGGAGTCATGTAATTGCAGGTGAGACACCAATTTGTATAAATCTGAAGAAATTAAAGACAGGAATAGAGATATTTGTCAAGCACTTGTGCTTCAAACAAATAAAACCATTTTAACTAAAGGAACTAAATAAAGTATCTCCTGGCTGAAGGCTGTGTTTTAATTATACTCTTTAAAACATTCAACCTTGTTAAATGGGTTTTTGTTAATACTTATATGGCTTCAGGGTTCATTCCTGTCTGTCACATAAAATCCAAATGCTCTAAAATTGCATATGCATGTATCCTTCGACTCAACAATTCAACTTCTAGAAATGTATTTAAAAGATATGCAGGCAAAAGAAATGAAACAATGAATGCATTCATCTCTTCACTGCAACACTGTCTGTAATAGCAAAATACTAGAAACATAAATGTCCCATCAATAAGAAAATGTTTGAATGTAGTTTAATACATTCAGTGAAATACTATATAGCTATAAAAGTGGGATGGGGCATCTCTGTATAGTCCTATGGAGTTATCTCTAGATTACACAATTCAGGGTTGGGGGGCAAAGTACAGATAGAAATAGACAAATCCATTGAGATAGAAAGAACAGAGGTTATCAATGTCTGGGGTGGGGGTGGGGAGAAGGGAAAGAGGAATTATTGCTTAATGGGTACAGAATTTCTACAGAAGGATGAAAAAAGTTCTGAAAATCAACTGTGATGATGGTTGCATATAACATTGTGAATGTACATAATGCCCCTGAAATGTATACTTAAGTATGGCTAAAAATGGTCATTTTATCATACGAATATTTTACCAATATAAAAAAAATAGTACAAGGTGTAGAATATTGTTTATTGTATGCTACTTGATGGTGTGTGGCTGTGGGTGTATTTTTAAAAATAGAAGTATAAACCAAATCTAATAAAACTGGTTATCTTAGGGAAGGAAGAAGATATTGAAGAAGAGACAATGATGGAAGAAAATCATTTGTAAATATGCCTTGTTTTATAGTTCCACCTTTGGAACCATGTATATATTTTAGACAGTTAAAGACAAAATTAAATTTAGAGCAATACCTAGGGGCACCTGGTTGGCTCAGTCAGTTAAGCATCTAACTCTTGGTTTCAACTCAGGTCATAATTTTGGGTCATGAGATAGAGCCCCATCCCATGCCAGGTAGGGCTCCACACTCAGCATGGTGTCTGCTTGGGATTCTCTCTCTCCTCTGCAACCCCCCCCCCACCATGCTTTCTCTCTCTCCCTCTCTCAAAATAAATAAATAATATCTTAAATAAAAAGAAAGAGCAATGCCTAAAAATTTAGAACAAACTAAAACAAATGAACCTATTTTTCACACTGGTGGCATAATCAGAGGGAATAATGATTTAAGGTGTTATTTTAACAAAATATTTGAAATGTACATCTTTAGTAGGATAGTCTAAGGATAAAATGAGCCAAATTCATGAAGCCTGAAATTGCATTTAGCAGTGGTAATATGAGAGAGAGAGAGAGATAGAAAAATATTAGAAATCAAGATTTCAGCACAAGAGAATGGAGATACATAAAAATAAAAACATAACCTTAAACTGAATTATAAAATGCCAAAATGAATTAGAATTTATCTTTCTAAAAATATGCATTTCCTGATCCTATACATTGGAAAGACCTGGAAATAGGGACAACCCAATAACAATAGACACCCTCTGTGCCCAGATTATGGTTCCTAAACACCAGTGAAAGGAATGACCTTGGTTAAGAGTCTGATTTCAGGTTTGGGGCATGATATATATAAGATATGTTAAATCTAAACTATCTTGTCGTACTTGAAAGCAAGGAATTTATCACTTTAGGGATCATGTCAAAGGAAAACTGAATGAAAAAGATGCCACTGACCAAGGATGGGAAAATTTGAGCATCAAAAAGAAAAATGACCACAAAAGATTGAAATATATGAAATGTATAAATATTTAAGAGTTCTAAGTGATATCCCAAATAAAAATTAATCGGTCACTTTTAGAGGTTATTAGGCACAGCTTATTATTCTAAAAATATTGATAAATAAAATAATCACCTATTCTGTCTTTGCTGGAAAAGACAAAGAATTTCTTTTTTAAAAATTACAATTGTAAACACAGGAATGATAGAAAAATCACAGCTTTGCAAACTGTAATGAAATGATGGATCTGAGCAACAGTTATCCAATGACTGCTAAAACCATTAAGTCAGGCATTCTTACCCGGAGTCTGTTTTCTCCTCAGTGGGTATCTGGTGATATCTGAAGACATTTTTTATTGTCACAACAGAATGGTGTGGGGGGGGCAGGAGGGTCAAGGGTATCAAGGATGCTGCTAAATATCCTACATGCACAAAATAGTTCCCCATAAGAAAGTATTATCTGGCCCAAGATATCAATTGATATGGGAAACTATCTATGTTAGGTAAACAATCAAGGGGGAAATGGTTAATAAAAGATTTAAGCTGTTATTATCAAAACCTACTGGTTAATTGTAAAGTTCTGAAAAACAGGACAACCAGACATTTTGTGTCTATTCAAATAGCACAATAGGTGGCACAAAGAACCACCTATAAAATATCTTTGTCAAAAAATGTAACCTGAATTATGTAGTCATAATTTTACATTTAAATTCCAGTTTTTAGGGACTATAGAGAGTAGTGAGACATGTTAAATGATACTGCAAGAATATGGTCAACCAGCTGTAGAATGTGGGAAATACCACAGGACCGATTTTGTTTAAATAAATGACATGGTAGAGAAGAGAGGGGAACTGTTCTGGTTCAACAACCAAATGCAAAGGTTGCACCTTATCTGGAATTTTTATTTTAACATGGGTCTAAAATGACATTTTTGAGACAATATGGGGGATTGAAAGCTGATTATTAGATGAAGATTTATTTTTCCATTTGGGAGGGGTGTGACAATGATATCACAATTATATTTTTTAATATATTTTCCTATATTTACCAAAGTCTTTAGGGATGAAATGATATGATGCCTGGGGTTTGATTTACAATACAACAGGAAAAATAAAGACAGAGTTCTGAAAATAGGGAGTAGATATAATTTTCTCTACT